TGTCCACTAGAATGATTGATAATAATAGCATGGATGATCATTGGAAATTTTACGAAAAACAGAGGACTTAACTCTGTCAAAAATCAAGTGGTCTCGTAATAAACGGAAACTTGAGTTGCGGTATTACCACAATTAATTGAATCAGTGAGTTAGAAAACACACCAACTCAGGTTTTTCGGATTTTCACTTTTTTACGGTTTAGTAACACTTACGGATAGAAGCATCTGCACGCAAAAGGAAATTTCGAAATTGCAATCGGAAGTGCTCGAAACAGCGACGGGAAAAGGGAAGAATCGAAGTATTTCGTTGGAAATACCAATTTTTGGCCATTTCAAGGGAAACGGGTGACCATCCGATTTTGCGTTTTTCTTTTTTCGTTTCAGTAGGTATACCTTGTACCAACAAGTTATATAAATATTCAAGCGTTATTCAGGTCGAAAATATATACAATTTTCAGGGCAGACTATGAAAAATCAGTATCTGAAAGTCGGTGAGAACGAAAACACACCAACTCGGAATTTTTTAAACGCTTAATTCTCTGTCATCAAACATGGTATATCGATTTCCACTTGGTGCTTCACAAAGTCTCTATAAGTACTTGTCCTTTGGCACCAAGAAGGTTTTGCTTAAACTAACCTCTTCGCCCGCTGCGCACTTGCGCAGTTTTAGGTGTTTCCTGCACAATTTATTTCTCCGAGTTGGTTTGCTTCGAGCCCACTGATTCAATTTAAAAAAAAAAAAAAATTAAAATGGCGTTACGGCATTTTTGTTGTGCACCGTAGAAGAAAACAGGTGCGTCCAGCGCCCATGCGATATGACGTGGATCGGAACTGAACAAACCGCTTATTAATGAATGGAGAGTTGACATTGACCATCGTCGCCACAACCCAGTGAATTAGAAGAGTCTGCTACTCACAAGCCCTACTATCACAATGCCCGGGCTTGCAATGACATTGACTTTGAAATGGGCGGTTGCACTGTGAACTGACCACCGGTAGCCTGGCGCGCGCCGCGCCGCCAGCCATCAAGCGTTCGCGACGCGCGACGCTACGAGCTGAATCGGATCTCTAATTGGTTTTCCACCTTCACTCCCGGCATACAACACTCTGGAATGTGGTTTAAATGTGGGACATTCGGCAACATGGCTCATTTAAATACTATCAGATTTTTCCGGCCTTGTCGTTTATTCCGGTGGTGACTCTCGAGTTGGCAACACTGTGTTTCTTCCATTTAAATCCGTTATAAATATCGATTTCAGCTGAGGCAGGCTTCTGCATCACGAATCGATTGTTTTACGTACGTTTAAATGGAGGAAATTGAAGTAAATTCGCCTGTTGTCAGAATTGTCACTGGCTTTCTTGTCGTATCAGAGTATCGATGACAACCTGCCCAGCAAAGGAATGAAGTAGCAACGTTGTACCACGTGCAATGCATTTAGAATAAATTAATTTTGTAACGTACACAGTCTATTTGTCTAAATTTACTGCTAAATGTGTTTAAATAGAATGGTGCGTAGATATGTTCAGTGATACTCTTACGCATTTCGTCAAGTACAGCTGGTTTCAAAGTATTTTATCGGTAAAAAGTTAACGACAGGGTCCATTTTAAGTCTCACAACACATCAGATGAAATTATTCTGGACTGAGGGGTCTCATGTGATCTTTTAGCTGCAAAGTATATTTTGATCTCGGAATCATAAATATGCCAGGAGCATGCTAATAAGCATGAGATCCTCCAATTATTTTGGAATGAGCTTCGTGTTCGTTTAAGACGAAAGAGCCTGGCTTAAGTCAGATTAAGATTCCTTTGTAAGAACATTAACACCAAAATGACGATGATAATGCATCGTCAAAAACTTGAATCGCGCTGGTGAACGTGATGTGTTAATAATAAATTGCGTTTTGTCATGATGAAGGAAAAAAGAAAGTAATAATGCAAACGTTCATATTTTAATGAATACCTACCGTTTATTTTAGGATGAGGTTCACTGTCCTGAAAGTCGGTAGTCTTTTTCTACGCGGATTCAAGTCAAAATTCAAATTTTAGATATCGGTAGCGCTACTTACTATCAATTATATTATGAGTTATGAATGGGTATTTTAAACAACACAACAAACGCACGCTCGCAGCTACCCACCCACGCGCAAAAAAAAAAAAAACTGAAAGGTTTCATAAAATTGATTGATTTCAAGATTACAGCTTGGAAAACGTAAGTTGGAGAAAAATTGTTTGAAGGCTATCTTTCGTGTTTGAAACTTAGCCGTCAGATTATAATGTATACCTAGTTTTATGACTTGTTGTGAAAAAAGAAATCAACTGAGCCACTCGGTACTCAATTTTTAGGATAGTGAAGAGAATTTTTTGTCGAAATTTTCAACTCTAAATAGCCAAACAAATAGCAAAAAATAGCTCTCTTAAAAAATTTGCATGCGCGTACAACTTAGATTCTATTCTTTCGGGGAAGGACACACTCATGTAAGACCACAATGAAATTAGTAGGTAGGAAGTAGATTTCTAAATGAGTGGCACTCATTGTTTTAGCACTAGTCAATAATTATTTGCACTCTTCATCCGTGCCAGAATACAAAGATTGGCTAGTACTGGCGGTTTGCAAAAATTAAACATTCTAAATTTAATCCAACATGGATGTCCACCAGGTACATCGTTAACATGATGCATAATTAAGCTTTCTGATTATTGTCCTTCGCGAAATTTTGAGTTACTTGGAAACCACGTGGATTGACTGAATATATTTGAAAATGAAGTTGGTTACGTATACCTGTCGAACAAATCTGTCTGGACTTTGAAATTTGTGCCTGTGTCTGTGTCATGGCGTGGACAGACATGCAGTCGAGTGAAATCTGCAGAAATTTCACCGGCGAATGAAGTTTACGGTAATAAATGTCTAGATTTAGCGTGACGTCATTGTCATTTCAGAGATAAAGAGACCTAAACTTTAAGATTTGTAAGTATAAGGAAAATTCTCATCAAAATTTATCCTCGCCTCAGCTCTAAAGTCATTTATTTGCTGGTGATTTGTTCGGACACTAGGAACATAAAATGACAAAACGTCATTTCTTTACATTGTAGAATGTTCCAAGCAGCTCATGGTGTAAAATATTTATGCGATGTAGGGTTCGAAGTTTGAAATGAATAGTGACTGTCGCATACGTCTTCATTCCCTTTATTGTAGAAACTCGGTTTAAACGAATGCATCTCAAAAAGAGGAAGATAAAAATGCAAAAAAGATAAGGAAAAATAAAGAATAGACATAACTTGTGACCACCCACGCACGGTTAAGGGGCTTTCGTCCACGGAGGCAACATTTTCAATACAGTACCTAATCGAGGGATTAGGAGGACAAGGTCCATAAGTGCAGTTTTTGAAAAATTTGAGGTATTAATGATTTCAAGTAAAACCAGGTGTAATGCATATTCTGTGAAAAATTTGCTCCAAAATTCCAATTTTTAAGCATCAAAAAATCAGTTTGAACTTTCTCTTCGCCCCAAGGATCCATTTAATTTCAAAACTTCAAACACGTATCTCAAAATAGCAGAAACTATACTTATGCGCCTTGTCCTCCAAGCCCTTCAATTTTTCTAGACTAAGCTGCCTGACTCCATCAAAAATATTCCAAGATAACCTCGAACATTCTACTGAATGCGTCTTCGAATTCTATTGAGCATTTCAAGTCCATCACTTTTGAAGATTCGAGTATCACTGAATACTTGAATTCTTCTTCAGATAAGTACTCAAATACTGGGAAGTTCGAGTACTTGCACACTTGAATCTTTGAACTGACTAAATGTAAAGCTTGTACATGAGATTTTCAAAATGTTACTACCGACTGTTACAATACTATAATCTCAACATGTTCTCACGTGTTAATGAAACATTCGATATACAATCTCAATGATAAATCTATTCAGAATTAAATCTTAAAGTGTATCTCTTCTCACAAGGGAAGCATATCTGAATGGCTTCTGAAGTTCTGACATGAAGTCCAACTTTTGCAGGAAAATTTCAATTTCAAGATAATTTTTTTTTAAGAGGATGAAAATTATGCCGAAAAGATGACGTTAAGAAACTGTTGCCGTCGCACATTAGCAAACTGCTCTAAAGTCAACCAGGATGTAGGTTATATCGGCATTGAAAGGAAAACTACAGGACATCGAGGATTCAAGGATTCCTCATTACCCCCTAAAAACCTAACAGACTAAAATAACCAAATGGGCCGTCCATAAATCACGGGGCGCACTAGGGGGGAGGGGAGGGGGGTCCAGTAGAGCGTTACGTCATTTTTTTTACGTGTTAATGGATAGGGACCTGCGTCACAAAAGCACAGTGCACCCATTCCATGACCGTCAAAAGTTCCGGGATTCGCAACTTTTTTGTTGCAATTTCTCCCAATCTATGACCGTTAAAAGTTCCGGGATCCCTTTAAGATTTTTTCAAAAGTAATGAGAAAGTTCCGACAAGTACAAAAGATCCGGAACATATCTGTAATTTAAAAACTTCCAGGAAAAATCTTAGGAAAATCTCAAAAGTTCCGGAATTCGGAACTAGTTACGGGAAATGGAGCACTGCGAAGGCGTTACAAGGGGGGAGGGGTGGGGTTCATCAATGCAGAAAAAGTGCGTTACGTAATTTATGAACGCTCTCAAAATGCCTAAAACCACGTAAGGGGTGGCAAAATTTTACAAAAATTTCCCTCTCGGCCATCAACCCCTCACCAACTCCCCACAACTCTGACACCCCTAGTAATGTTTTCCATTTGATTTCACTGAATACGTTATATTACGTTACGTTACGTTACGTTATATTACGTTACGTTACGTTAAGTTACGTTAAGTTACGTTACGTTACGTTAAGTTACGTTACGTTACGTTAAGTTACGTTAAGTTACGTTACGTTAAGTTACGTTACGTTACGTTAAGTTACGTTACGTTAAGTTACGTTAAGTTACGTTAAGTTATGATTGTTACGTTCTTGTGTTGCAGATGGTGGGAAAAGCGGAGTAATGAGCGTGGACAAAGCAGGGAAGAAGAATGGAGAGAAGGAGACGAACATCTCCCACATCTCGGTCGACGCCATCCGGATCAACATGGAGAAGGTGGCACCATCCCAGGAGCCGGACAAGAAGTCGCCGCTGAAACGGAAGTCGGAGCAGCTCCCGGTCGACTTCCGGTCCGGCTACCCCTTCGGCAAGGAACAGGGGAACGGGGCCGGGACCCCCGATGGCGGCCCCACCGGCGGCGCCGCCCTGGAGAGCGCCTCCGAGAAGAACTACGACACCTTCACCAGCTCCACCAACAAGTTCATCGTCGACGCCAACAGCCGCTTGCCCGAGGAGGGCCACTTCAGCATCGCCAAGCAGATCGCCGTCCCCTTCCTCGTCTCCGGGTTCGGCATGGTCGGTGCCGGTTTCTACCTCAATTCTTTCGAGGTATGTAGCTCCTTAATCTCAAGTAGAGTCCCTCTATACTGAGAGTAGAGACAACGTGAATCCATTTCTGATTGGTTCCCGTATTTTAGGCTGTAGCGTCCAGCCCTCTTACAAACTAGAGGCTTCGAAGAGACTCGTCGATTGCCCCGACTTAAACCGCTGGCCAATGAGAGGGCCAGAAAGGCATCGATGAACCTCTTTGAAGCCTCTAGTTTGTAAATGGGCTGGACGCTCTTCACAGTGTAGCGTCCAGCCCACCTACAAACTAGGGGCCTCAAAGAGGCTCATCGATGGAACTGTTGACTGTTGCCTTTCAAAGATCGTCGGGCCGACGATCTTTGAGGGTAACCGATGTGTTCGGGATACATCACAGATCAGATCTTGAAATTTTCAAGGCATTCCGTGCAGAAATGGCTGAGAAATAGAAGAATTAGTGCCAGTTTGAGAGCCCCAGTTTGTACGTGGGCTGGACGCTTATCACAAACGGAAATGAAGATTACAGTTTTACTGATTGCAAAGATTATAAACCGGAATGGACCGGGACATTGGGGGTACGGCAAGGAACAAATGGAATGAAAGAGGGAACGGAGATAGGAATTCGGGAATGGGTTAATCAAAGATTACAAAAAACGTCCAATCGGTTTAATCTTTATTCCCGTTTGAGACATCCATGAGCCGCGCTGTCTTAACTCTCCTCCCCCTATAAAGGGACTCTAATCTCAAGTATCAACGTTCAGGGTCGCGATTTTATTTACTACCCTCCTAAGGGAGAGAACGCCGCGTGAAATTATAGACGTTGCCAATTCTCCTTTGATAAAACACAAACTTTCTGGGGTATTTGGGAATATTTTTATTCCATTCTTTCTGACAATTTTGTTCGCAACTGAATCTAATCCAATATTTGAAAAGTTCAAGGCAAAATATTCGTAGCTTCGCCCAAAAATGGACTTTAAATCAGGAGAAATTTGTCAACGTCCAATGTTTATCCCGCGCTCTTCTTTAGTACGGTAGTTTAGTGAGGAGATATATTTGACGAGGGTGAAACTCCCAAACCCCGGATTTCGGTTTGCGACGTTGCAGGCTTCCTGTGATACATACATTTTTAAATGAGAAACAACTCAACGTCAATATTTTAACACTCTCTTGATTTTTTCTCTTTGAGTGAAGAAAATCCTGTAAAAACTTCTGAAAATGATGTTGATTTGTTCGCTTTCCAAAAAGTAAAATGGGAGCGGAGATTGAAAAAACACCGCAAACTAGATTTTTGGTGGTATGAGCAGTTGAGCACCCCCCCCCCCTTCAACTCGATTTGATTTGACGATGATTTCACAAATCTGCGTCAAATCGTATTCGTATTGAACTGCAATCGAATCAAATGAGTGTGCTCATGAAAGTTCAGCAAAATGAGAATAGCTACAGGGATTCACGAGATTTTGGTTCTGGAAATCAGCTAGGATTTCACATGGTCCAGTATCACATGGTATTGCATGGTATCTCGTTTAATTTTGGTGTTAAATTCAGGAGCGGCGACTGTTTTCCTCCATCGCGCAAGCTTATTGCGGCAAATCGAATTTTTCTCCCCGAAATGGAATTTTCCGTGAAAAAGTCAATTTTTTGTAGAGATAGGGAATTATTGGGAAAAAGCAAGATTGTTTTGGGATTCAGCATGTTAAGAAAACATTGGATAATGCACATGTCCTACAAAACTTATCCACTTCCGAGGATAAAAACTTATAAAACAGCACTTGAATAAAATTTCCATTAGGTAATTTGTATGAACAGATCTGGTCGCTTGACCGCAGAAACTTTGTAAACAGAAAAAGCTCAATAACAACATAAAATAATCTAAATAAAAAAATGTCTACGTATTATTGAGATACATGAGCGATTTATCTAGACCTACACTCGCAAATTACCAATTGGAGAGTATCCGCTTCATGCAGATTATGAATTATGTTAGATTGGAACTATCGAGATTAGAATGGAAAATGCATAAAGTATCGCAGACGCGTGTGCTTACAATTAGACGTAAGAGTATGGTTCCGGATTATTTTGATCCATCATCGTTATTCACTCCAAACTCCACTGACTGCATATCATATTGCGAACGCCGGAATATTCCGGATAAGTTCGGATCGGGCAGATCGTGATGGAATCCTTCAGAAATTCTCTGGAGTTGGGATCTTGTAAACAAGTGTACGGAAGTTTAGAGGGAAAAGTTGTTCGAGAACCGAGACGAGTTCTTGATTTCGCCGGGAGGGCTGAAAGCGGTGGCGTCATGGCGTGGTGTGCTTTGCACTGAATCGATGGATCTGCCATTTAAACCTATGGAAAAGTATCGATAAACAGGGTGTTTGTAACGAACACAAAAAAATCGATTCTTTGCCATAGCCTCTAATGGGGAAATATCGATAATCGATCGTTCATGTCTCGACACCGGCTGAAAGCGCAAAGCGACGCGGGGCGCGGGGGGTTCGTTATGATTTTCCGTTTCACTGTCTCCCGGGAGTTTCACAGATTACGCAACATTTTCTTTACGTCTTCCTCGAGTGCACGTAAAAATGTGTGTTGCGAGGCTTGGTGGTTGGAACAGTACCTAATCATGAAAAAATGGCAAATAATGCGACTTATGAGGGGCTTGGTGGACAAGGCGCATAAGTGTAGTTTTTGAAAAAATTGAGATATGAACGATTTCAAGTAAAACTAATCTCTATGCATATTCTGTGAAAAATTCGCTCCCCAATTCCCTTTTTTAAGCATCGAAAAGTCAGTTTGAACTTTCAAGTATGTAAGTAACTTCCCAAAACCATGTAATCTCGAAACATCTAACGAGTATTTCTCAAATACCAAAAACTGCACTTATGCGCTTTGTCCTCCAAGCCTCTCATATCGTCGCTCCTCTGGCTTAAGGGCGTATCTCAATTTCCCCATGAGCCCTAGAAAGCATAGATTTATATGCAAAACAAGGCTCACGTTGAAATTGAGATACGCCTTTACGTCAGAAGAGTGACGATATATTGTAGTGGCAATGAGATGTTTTGAAAGCGGCGAGTGCTGAAGCTGGACATTTTTTTTAAAAAAAAAGTTGATTTGTATAGTAACAGAAAAAAACTCGTCACAAGTTCATTTGTATTGTTTATCGCACATAAATAGTAACAATTTCCTCTATCTGTCGACAATATCGGTATTTCGAAAATCTATGTTAATCGATGCAACGATGTTCGATGTGATTTCTTTGGTAGCATGCCGCTTTCTTGAAAAACAAAGCTGATAGACCGTCCGTAGGACGAAAGACGTAACAAAAGGGAAAGAGATAACAAAGCACGAGTTGTGCCAAAAGGAGCCTCTGCCTCCAGACCATCGTCTGAAGTTTGCAAATACTTAGGTTCGTGGGATGATCAGGAATGGCCGACGACGATTCAATCGTCCGTTTCCGGTGACAGCGAGGGCTCCTCGAATACTCCCCATTTCCGGCGCCAAGCCCCACTCAACGACGAGCGAGCTTTCTTGCGCGTGCGCGCCGCGCGCCGTTGTGTCAACTTCGAAACGCATTTAATTGACCAATCGGAAGAGGGAAGACATACGCCGATGATTGAGAGTGATCAACCAGCGTCTGTAAGTGCCGCATGTCGAAATGTTGAGTCAGGCACAAGTTGACGGTTTGGCATCGTTGGAGAGGAGCACATTCTGGCATCAAGGTTAAGGTACCAAAATGACCCTTCTTGAGAAGCCCAAGCTTATGAGTCAGTTGCGCTGGTCACAGAATCGTGTATTGGTGCTTGATTCTTGTAGATCAGCTGAAAGCAATTAGATTTGTCTAAACAGCAAATCTCTTCGTTCAAACCGAGGTATCGCCCTTTGAAAAATTCCGATTATGACGTCATCCACGGCAGTAGTGACACCCTTGGTTTCTGCCATCTATCTTTCATCAGTCCGTGTGACGAACACGTGTGAAATTCGGATGAAAACATAAGTTGGAAGAAACCAAGGGCCAAGGGTGACCTGATTTTTTCCAAATAAAATATCTCACTTTTTAAAAAGTTTCGATGGTTTTATTGTTAAAAAATCGTGTGTTACAGAAATGGGAGGTGTTCAAAGCTCCTGGTATTCCCGTCCTGATTCCTGTCTTGCTCGGCTTAAAAGGAAACTTAGAGATGACCGCCGCATCCCGCTTGTCAACAGTGTTCCACGTTGGGATTTCAAGTTATAAGGATTTTTTTAAAATTATTGTTGGCAACTTTTCGCTTGTCCAAGTAAGTTCATGAATTTCCTACATTTTTGTACATCTTATCCCACACTCTCCTTTTATTTTCATGTATACATAACTTTTGAGTGTGTATTTAAAATGGCGTGATAACCGTAACTTTCATTTCTAAATTATTGTATCGTTCATAGCGCGGTTGAATAATGTGTGCACTTGGTTGCATGTACAAAAATCGAAGGCGCTTTTTAAACTTGGATTCATGTGAATGCCGTGCCGAATCCTCGATCTCATATTTAAACAGATTTAACCGGAATGAGCCGAATTGCATTTCGCGTTGCTTAATTTACCCTTATGGTTAATTTATTTAACAGAAAACTGAGCCACCTAGAAAGCCTTGAAATTTTCCGCAAATATCTCCTTGATTATACAAATAAAAAATATATTTATACAATTTTTGGGCAAGTTTCATCAGCATGTAAAAAATTAATAAATAAATCACGAAAGGAAATTATGCAACATCTAAGTCTGGTTGCAATCGTCAATCTAATAGTTGTACTTCACGAATTGACTATCTAGGAATTGTTCCTCTCCTTCATTAAAAGTTTGAACAGACGACGTCGCTCCAAAAAACAAGAGCTAATAGAACTTGCTTGTATTTGAGAATCGTCTGCTTTCTTAATTTCCTTATCACCGCCTGTGATATAAGTGGATTGCATTTTGCAATTTGGAGCTATGAATTCTGTCGCATATGAAAAAACACGTATGTGCATAGGGAAACTACTGGCACATACGTTGTTTTTTAACCGGGCCGGAATTTATAGTTCCTGATTGCAAAATGTTGTCCAAGTCATCCGGGTAACGCGCACCCCATAACGCCTGAAGCGCAAAGCGCCTCGGAGTTTTGAACTGCAAAACAGTCAGGGGACGTAGTTCCCTAATTTCCTTTTAAGATTTGAAATATTCTTATGATTCAACGGAAAATTTTTTGTTGTGGTTTACAGGGTCAAGCACTTAGTGTTAGTTTGATAGCAGCTCACACGGCTATGTTCCTATTAGCAATCACATCAGATGAAGTGTCCACGGAAATATTGGATCATTTAATTTTCCTAGTTGCTTCGGCGATGGTATCCGCATCTTTGGCCAGCATCGTTCTACGTAAGCGACAGAAAACCTAATTTTCTTATCAAATAATTCACGATTTAAGCCATGATCCTTTGATATGTATAGTTTTTAAAAATTTGCCGTAGATATTGGCGCCATTTTTTAAAGATATACCCTCCATTGCTACATGCCTACCTCATGTTATTCTGGCTGTTCACATTCTATGTGAGGTATGATTTTTAAGGATTCATTGTCAGTTTAAAAATACGTACTCAAATGGAAACATTTTCCCCATCATATTCTCTTACATTTTACATTTTGCACATCAACCTCTAAAACATGTTGGCCTGGATTTTTTGGTTTACTCACACCAGATTTGCTCCTATTGTGCAGTTCCAAAAAAAATGATACATTATTAGTAGGTTCGATTACATCGATTGATCTGTCATTCCAACCCACGGAAACGGTTCGATATACAGAGTTTGCATCGAACACCTAAATAATCGTTACTTCACCGTACCTTCAAATGGGGAAATTTCTATAATCGATCATTCATGCCTCACCATTAATTTACAGTATGCCATTATGTGAATTTATTTTTCATGTTTATCATGAAAGAAATAAGTGCCGATGAGTGGAATAGAATCCCTTTGGAGCAGAACTTGTATACATATTTTAAGGATACCTTCTATGAGGAAATTATTTTTTGGTTTTTTCTCGTTGTTTTTATCTGACCATCTATTTATCTACACATGGATATTTTTTTACAGAGTTTGTAACAATGAATGTGATGCTCCTTTGTCGTTGGTTAAAAATTAATCCAGATAATGTGGCAACTCAGACTGTTGGAAGCCTGGGCGATCTCGTATCTCTCGTCTTCTTTTCTTCTGTTTCTGATTTCATTTTTAAATCAGGTAAGAAGATTTTTTGTGTAATATATGTTAGTTACTTACTTAATTTATTACAACGATCAGCAATTTTACTTACAAAGAAATATATATGAATGGATATACGTTATTTTTAAACAAACTTTTACGTCGCCTCCAAATTTTCCGTGTATATATTTGAGGTAATTGAAGAAAATTCGCAGAAAAATTCAAAAAAACTGTTTGGTAGTTTCTTTAAAAGAAAATAAAACGATAAAATATGAGCGGAGGTATGCAACGTTGCAATAGGAAATAATACGTTTTTCTTGACTGTGGTCATCGCCGTTTAACTGCAATATTGAAAGGCGTCGTTGAGATAACTATTCGACCACGGGTGGTGCCCATATTGCCGCCAGATGGAATTGAAGGCGCGTCATGCTGCAGCGATGGTACCGTACCGCGTACCGGCTAGCGCGGCGCTGATAAAATAGCGCCCTTAGACTAGGACTACGCGTTAAAATGCTCAACTTTCTTATCATTTCTCTCACAATTCAATAAAAATGTGTATCTTTATTGCAACGTTTCAAAATCTCGGACTTTATTTTCTTACTTTTAAATTGTTTCACTTTTAAATATAAGTACCCATCAAAACATCTCTTCGAGGAAAACATATTGGACTGGTTTAAGGGGAAAAAAAACTGATCCACCATCCTTTAAATTATGCACTGAACAAACTACTTTTCATACAATTTTGTTCCTCTTTGTTTCAGATAATGTTGTTTTCAATTCTTTAATTATTACGCTGACTTGCTTGATTTTAATTCCTTGCTGGTTCCTGTTGGCGTACAACATTAAGTATACAAGATCTGTCATGAGCTCTGGATGGGTTCCTCTAATAGTCGCTATGATTATAACAGTGTAAGCTTGTATTTTTAAAGTTTTAATATTAACATTGTATAACTGTGCATATTGACAATGCAGAGGATCACTTGGAGAAGTTGATATTCTGCATAATATTCCAATGAACGAGAAATTTGTCGCCATCAAACTTTGATTAACCATACTGTTTTCATCAAGAATCGACTATAAGATTCACATGCAAAAAATCATTTGCTCACGAAGTCAGAAATTTCCTTCTTTTTGAGTTTCAATTTGAAAGACTCAAAAATTCCGTTTGCAATCATTAAAAAAGATTTATATTTAAATGTATAGCACTAAAAAAGAATAGATATGTATTAAGGAAAATTATTCCGTATTTGTCCAACGCTCTCCAGTCTTGTTAGATTTTTTTTCTTTTGGTCTCCCAGAATCCCCTTGGTGAGATGATCTGCTCCTCCTTCAACATGAAGTTCCGCCCTTGATCTAGAATGTTCTACACTCGAACCTATGGAGCAACTTTTATTTTTGAATTGGGAAATAACAATTTTACCATTTGTAAAATGATTTTTAAATATTTATTTCTGAATATGATTATAGGTGCAGCGGCCTCGTTTTTTCTGATATGATTCAAATGTATCCGGGCTTAGCACCTCTGCAACCAGTATTAAATGGTGTTGGAGGCAGCCTCGTCTCCGTACAAGCTAGTCGGCTGTCCTCCATGCTGCACACCACCTGTGATATAGGCACTCTACCCCCTAATACAAGGACTTTTATAAACCCATGGACTCTTTTTACCTCTAAAGGTATGACTCTCTGAGCAATAGTTTAGTCAAATATTGCCTCTGTTTATTTCTTTACTTTTGGAGTGATTTAAGTTTTATAATGTTGATTTTCGAATATAAAGGTAGATCTCTTTTGAAAACTTCAGAAATCGTTGTGAAAATATCAAGTGCCTTGATAGCGCAATATTCTGAAAGAATTGTACATGCTCATATATTTGATCTTTTACTCCATGATTCAAGCCAACGTTTTTTGCATTAAGTGAACATAGGTAGTAATAGGTACGCTGGACATGAAAAAGATGAAAACAAAAAAAGTTTCTTGGGCTAAAAAAATTGGTTTTTCGTTTACAATAATGAAACTTTACACTCAACATTGATTTTAATTTTCGTAAAATTCCCATTTTCATAGTTTAAGCGTAATTATTTTTTTGAAATTCAAAGACTTCGTCAAACCACATCACATACATCATGGTTTTTTAGCACTAATTAGGGCAAATGGAATGTATGCATTTAAGAAATGACAAACATGGAAGCTCAATATTGATTCTAATCTATAGTTGAAGTTAATCACAGCAATTACTATTCTTGGAAGATAAAAGTAAAGAAAACTACCCTCGATCACAAAGACATTCCAACAGTGAGGAAAAAATAAGCTGTTAAAATAATTGCTGATTATTTTGCTCTTTATTTTACAGAATATTATTCAACAACTGTGCGAGTTCTTCTTTTTGCGGTTATTCCTGGCCAATTGATTTTCATATCCATCATCGGTTACATCAAAGCCGAAAAATACACTCCTCTATTTATTTTAGCATACATTTTAATCGCCACGCTACAAGTAAGAGAAATATTTCTACTTTTTCAATAAATGAATATGCAAGTTCTTTATAGATATCGATTATGAGTGGGCAATATGTCTCTTATGGAATCGAGTATTTTACACATAATTAAATGAAGGAATTGTAGTGTTGCCATTTAGCAGAAATCGACAGAAAAGTGTTCTGAAACTAATGTGTGATTCGTAAGGACAATACTATGGCTCTTTGATGATTGAACTTCAAGAAATTGTATCTATGTATAGGAAAAAAGAGATTTTTTTGTCAAATTTTGTCGGTAAACCGTACAAAAGGAAGGTGAAAACTTGATGTCATTCAGAGTGGTTGCTCAGATTTGGATTACGGGTCCTTTACAAAATGAAACGAACGGAAAAAATGGGAAAAAATTGCATTAGATTTCACCTGACCGTCTTGCATTACGCCGTAATTTGCGCTGTGATGCTACTATGCGTGTAAGGAAGACCAGTGCCCCTTCATTTTTTGACTAAGCATTAACATTAGCATTGTTTTGACATAGCATTAAGGATAATCAATGAGTACGAATAAATGTATCTCCGCGTTGCTGTCGACGTTGAGCATTTAAATCGACCGAGAGACTACGAATAAATGTATGTCGATCACTGTTTTCAAAATTTCCGCTCCTACATAATTATTTTGTACCAGAAAATTTATCAGATATTTTATGAAGAAACTCCCAGAGACTTTTCTGAAGCTAAATTTAATGTTTCGTGAAATGTTCCAGGTTGTGTTGTTACTATTTATTTGTCACATCCTGACTCATTTCTTGTGGAGCAAAAATGCTGATCCGGACCTGGCCACCATCCCCTACATGACGGCTTTGGGAGATCTTCTAGGTGCTCTGTTTTTAGGTTACACATTTGAAATTTTCTCCATGTGTCGGCTTCAGTATAGGTACGACTGTCCATCGAGGGATATGTCCCATTGTTATTGATATCATAGTTTTTAACAGGCAGAATTTTTTACTACCGAAGGCGCAGCTTGGAAAAAATGCAATTTTAAGAGACCAGCTCGCTTAGCAGTAAATTATTTCCTCTTGTACACAAAGGAATCATCCAACGTGTATGACAGGACTAGGAAATAATCGTGTGATTTTACGTTCAAAGATTCCAGAACAAATGGACTACATTTTGAAATTTGGTACTATAAATTCTTGCCTGGTTTAAAAACAACGTATGTGCCATTAGTTTCCCTATGCACACAAGTGTTTTTCCAGAATAGCCAGAATTTATAGTTCCAAATTGCAAAATGCAGTCCAAATGAGGTACAGTCAATTTTGGTTTGGGAAAGTATCACAAGATCATTTATGTACGATTAATTTTTTGTCGTATTGTTAGGATTTTGTAGATTTTATTTTAATACACAATGATTACTCAAAGGTCTTACTATCCCTCCTTTTTTTCCAACATTTAAACATGATATTTTTGTGCACCCCTCATTGCGTACGCAGAATTCACTGCGAATGAAGTTGTGTTTTGCCAAATGGTTTTAAATTTTTTTATCACCATAGAGTTAATGCTGGCGAGGTTACTTTTAAACAAACACTCTGATAAATGTTCGTTAACATTTGTTTAGTAGGTATTTGTAATGGTATATTTTCGAAGCAACCATTTTATAAAAGAGCAAACTGTTCTCAAAAATATCACATACACTATCAGTCGTCTATTTTAATAGTACTATGAACGCGGTATGTGAAATATATCAATACATAATAAATTAACCTTCAGATCCCAACGGGGAAAAAATCTGTGTTCGTATTAGCCGTGTTTTAAATCATTCCATCGGCATTCTGAAATTTTTCAGTGATGTTAGCTTTTTATATACCAGTACGTAGATATGTACTAAAATGTGGTGCGAGCCACCCTTACTTCGGTCAACTTTTAAGGACTCTTCTAATTCCAAAGCAAGGATATCATACCTCCTATAGATAAGTTTATTAAACCTCAAACTGAAATAAAAAATTGTATGTAATTGTGAAAATGCAAATTTCTGAGCCGTCCCTTCTTCTTATGTGATTAGAGGCTCCGAACTCAAAAAAAATTGTGATGGGTAAGTACATCTTTTAGATAATGTATACATTTTTTCGCGATACATTTTTTAGTCGTCTTTAACATGAATTTAAACTTTTTTCTCATCTGGTACTGTTGTATCTTTTATATTTACAGCACGTTTATCGATCAAAGTAAATGGATGAACTTTTGAATAAAAAATCATTATCACAAACAAAATAATTTTCATATAATGCCCTGTCTTAGCGCGGGCGATCTTTTTATTTCATTGGCGGATCCAGCAAGTTGGGACCATTGTTATTTTCTTTCCAATTAAACCTAAGAAAATTCATCGATTTTTCGGAGGGACTAGATGCTCCGAAAGATGGGTTCAACATAGGTTTAAATGGAAACAATGTTTTTGACTTGCCGAGTCCGGCTTTGTTTTATAAACCTACATTTGTATCAAATATTGTGCCGATCTAGCCTTTTAAATTGGCCGAAATTTATAGCGGTTGAATTTTTACAAGATGAACGTTTAAATCAACAGTACCTTCTTTTTTCAACCTTTTCTCTCACTCTTCTTCTAACTGCATGTCGAGTACGGAGTTTTTATTATGTGCAACCGATATTCTATCTAGACGCATCAAGACAATAAAAACAAGAAATTCCTCCTCCAAACTCTTCAGAAAACTATTTTTGAGACAATAAATATCTAGGTACTTAAGCTGATAAATGTTATCTATTTTAAGAAAAACCCGTTTCCCGCTCTAATGAAATGACACTTCTATGTACTTAAATAAAGGTAAATGGTAATTTTACCGACCCCAACAGTTATCTACTACCTTTTCCGTTAGTATGTTTCTCTGTTATTATTTTTCATTTATTTATTAAACACCTTTAATTATTTATTAAACGCTTTGTGCGTTTTGAATTGTATTTTAAAATTAGACACACAACACTAATTAATTACTCAGTCAATTGATATTTTTAACTAAATGTGATTAATGTAATACCCAATATTCAAAGATAGGTGGTTTTAGACATCTTTTTGCATGAGCGAGGATTTCTTGTCACGCAACCACCACAGACGCATTATTCAAATTCTGCTGAATATTACATTCGTGATATTATAGTACATCATATCATGTTACTGTGCAGGTTTCTGTGCCAAATCAAGGTATGTAAACAGATCAAAAAATATACACTGATTTTTCTAATACCGTAAGAACTTCAAGATGAATTCCGTCACAAGGTAACGGAAAAATTCATTGTCCCATAAAGCATCAAAAAACTTAGATTCCAAGAAACCAATGAGAGTTTGGCGCGATTCCAATGAGCATTCAGTATCTATTCTTCAATAAAATGTACTCAGACGCATTTTATTAAAGATATGTTTATCTGCATTAGATGAAATTCAGATGATAATTCTAGAGAATAATATGTTCCAAGGCGAAGAAAAATCGCACAAAATTTTTCAATAAATAACAAAGATCGATTATCTTCCAAGAAGTAAAATGTGGTGAAAAAGCTCCTTTGTAAACCGAGATAGGTGTCATCCTCTGGCGGCCAGATAGGCCTTTGCACTTCTTAGTCTCTCACTTGTGGTAGTACACAAGTCTAAAATTCGGCCCAACTTGGCTTCCAAACTTCAATTCTCGACTTATATCTTTCAATGTAGATGAATTTGTTTGCAAAATTAGGTGTTTTTTGTGACCCTTATAAATTTGCTGGCCTTGATGAGAAAAGGTGCTCTTCCCGAACTGTGATCTTTCATTGCTGATGTATGCAACATGAGAGAGACATCCTCAAACCCAGAATGAAGGTTTCAAAACTCTAAATTTTCACAGCTATTACCTGCAGTTGTAATTAATCCAGGGTTGTTCTTCTTTAATAAGGTTGTTCTTCTTTGATTTTTTACCTCCAGGCTCCCTGTATGTACACCATGTGGCACATTAGAACTTTACCTCCCAGATATACATCCTCAAATTCAATACTGTCACTTAGCAATAGCAACTAGTTCGGTTACCCTGTATAGTCAACTGCTTCTATTTAGAAAAACATTATTAATGAATTTATGCGACATGCCACAGAAAGCCGAATGTTAGTTCACAAGAAAACTATGAACAGAAATAACTCAGATTTCGGCTTCATTACGATCTGTTCATAGTTTATGATGTCTAACTTTTGGGGAAAAAAATCAGGGAAGTTTTCAAGAGATTATGCTAACCAGTTTTCAAAAGAAAAATGACGGGGGGTCTGCAACGTCGCAAATAGAGATACGCGCTTTCGCATTTTGGCCATCAATATCAAAGTACCGATCATATAAATATAAAAAGAGAACGCAATAAACGTGTTTAAATACTTTCCAATCTATTAAAAGATATTGAGCCAATAACCAAGTATCTCACAAGATGAATTGGAATCTATTCTGCAATAGGGAACCACTCTTTGGTAAATCGATAAAAGAACCTATCCGCATAGAGAAATTAATGGAATACCTGTATGTGCTGTTCATAAAACGATCCAGATACAGTAGCTTTGTATTAAAAAATGTAATCTAATCGTCATGGTGCCATCATACGATACAAAGTGTTGTACTAATAATCGACTCTTGCACAGAAAGTTATCATGATATACAGTGCAGATTTGGATATTAAGAGTGCCATAAAAAATACGATTGAAAATTTGCACGATCCCTTTTCTAAGTGCTCTTGAGCAGCAAGTCCGCTTGAGCAGTAAGCTCCCCTTTCAAATATTTCAACCAAAAACATTGGAATCGAGTTATCTGTAGAATTTTTTGTGCCATCATGCATGCCGTCTACAGAATGCATTAACTTTATACGTATACTTGAATCCCTTTGGTACATGAAAATCAATTCGATGTATGCAAAATCCTGCAGCTAAATACATAAGTATGTGTCCTTAGTTTTACCTTTAGGTGCCTCCAAATTGGTTACCAATATGAGAGAATCGTGAATTATTATTTGTTGAAACATTTCCTCAGTGTTATTTACCTGTGTAAGTGATTTATTTTTATTATTAAAATTTCCTTTTAATAAATCATAATTTATTGTTTTTCTTTGTCTCTTGCGTTAGGTTATGGAGACATAATCGTTGCAATTTTACTATTATACAGACACAAAAAGGAGAGAGCAACTCTGCGGGCTCATCGTTGGAATTGATCGACAAAGCGATAGACAAAGAAGACATAGGGATTATGGAGCGATCCTATTGGTTGCAAAAGAATAGTTGTCATGGAATGAGGGGGAAAATGACGGACTATAACTGTAGGGTCCCTCGTTGGTTGCCGTTAATTAGCCTATTATTTACCTCCCTTGTCCATTGCAACCTCCCGCTTCTACTGGTATAGGATAGCTTAATTTTCAGCGTGTCGTTTTTGTCTATCGTTTTGTCTATGAATTTCAATAATCAGCCCGCAGGATGTTAATGTGACATTGGCTGCTGAGTAAAAATCGAAAAGGGGAGGGAGTTTTGATCGATCTGGTCGATTTAATCAACTGAGCGAATTGCTCATCATTTAAGCTTGTACGGTGATCAAATTCGCCTTGAATTCCTTGAAACTTTCTTAATTTATTCAAAATATTTTTTTACAGTTAGTCAGTTCTCACAAAGCTTCTAAAGCTTTGTAAATGACTCATTTTTATTATTTTCATGGAGGTGTATTAACGCTGTAAATGTTAGAAATGGAGGCCTACCGCAAAGAAGAAAACAAAGTCCTTTCTTTCATACTACTCTTTCTAACCCTGCATCAATACTGGTACTCCACCTCCAGTCATGTACATTATGTCTTTTTTCGGGACCTCTGAGGATTTGAATTTGAGAGAAAGTTCAACTTCACTGGAAGCTCGATAATCAGTTGATTAAAAATTAATTAGCAATGACTGATCGAGTACAGACACATCCCAGCCCCTCCGCGGCTACTTAAGCCTCCTCCTCCGCTCTAGACAACTCCCATATCTCAACAAACCAGGCTACGCATTCATAATATCGCATGATATTATAAATGTAGCGTCACATTTCCCCCCGTTTCTTTGAGGAATACACTTGATAGAGGATGGTGTATCAAAAGCGCGATATTTTGATAGTGGTACAGCAATCGTTTCACTGCCCATTATCAATGTCTACAAATTATGTGACCTTTAACATTGAACTTTTTATCACGTGTGTATAGATTAAGACTCTTTTTAGTTGTTAAATTGTATACCGTCAACGAATCGTGGTGACTATCACTTATACTAATAAAGTGCATGCGTTAACGAATGTGTCCGCAATGTTAATATTTCAGTCAGGTTTATTTGTTCGTAAATGGTGTTTGGTTCCTTTCTCTAGTTGAGTGATATTTAAATATAATCAGTATTAAAATTCATCCTAAATATTTCAATCTTATGTGACAGTAAAATGAATAAAAGTTCACATTTGCATCACATCTTGAAAATAGATTTGCCGTGAGGGGCATTGTCTTATTGTGATTTGTACTCTGTTAAACCGGAAAAAAGTTTAATCTTCCAAACCAGTGTTCTAACAGCATTTCAAAAATGATCAAGGCTGGAAACATTATTTCATTGAATTCTCGGCTGGGAGCTTTTGGAATTTCATCTTCGAAAAAACATCTAAAGGTTTGCAAAATGAGTAACCTCTTGCTTACTATTAGGTAGTTTTATCCAGCATGCGTGATTGTGATGAAAGTATCACATAGGTATTATCAATCCAGAAGTTCACATTTCATAGGATTTTTCATGCATTGTAATTTAAACTAACTGCAGAGGCAAGTGCAGTTCCCTAAATTGACTGGAGATGTACATGCAGTAAATGTATGGGAATAATAAAAAAAAAAAAAAAAAATAACTAGCAGAATTGTATTGTTACTTTTGAAGTTGACTCTAAGTTTAATTTTTATTAGGAAAATTTTGGTGAAAAGGTGGCAGGAGCAGCCAAACTGTTACTCCAACTAAATAATTGTCACTGGTACCAGGAACCAGAAAATGCATTTAATGCTCACCATCTCCAATTAAAATTAATTAATAAGAATTAAGAATTGATCATAAATGAATTAATTAATCCATTTTTACGAGCTTATTTAGTAAAAATGTGATCAATATGTGCTTAACAGGGCCGGATTTACCTACTTGCCGCCCATGGGCCACCTTTATTTTGCCGCCTCCTTCTCATTAGTTTTGAAACATCAATAAAAACCATCAAGTGAGCATGCCGGAGGGAGAGGGGTGCATAAAACGCGTTTACTCGTGTTGGACACATTTTTTGCGAAAGCCCTGTCAACACTACTATCAAAAATTCACGGAACTTGGCGCAAAAGTTAAGTCCCGTAAACCTATCTCTGTGTGGACAAAGCCTTCCATTTATAAGAAATGAACGAAAAAATTATGAAAGAACAAACATAAATGCGGTTTAATAATTTTAACTTCAACCGCCGCGCCGCGCCGCGCCGAACCGCGCTGATCGCACTATGTTTGGCGCAATGCGTGAAGTATTCATGCAGTCTTGTAGGCGCTAGAGTCCCTTTATACTGAGAGTCAAGACAATTTGAATCCATTTCTGATTGGTTCCCGTATTTTAGGCCTTCACAGTGTCCCAAACGGGAATAAAGATTACAGTTTCACCAATTGCAAAGATTATAATCTGGAATGGACCGGGGAATTACGGGTTCGGCAAGGAACAAACGGAATGAGGGAAGGAACGAAGAAAGGAATTCGAGAATGGGCCGATCAAAGATTACGAAAAACGTTCAATTTCTGTAATCTTTATTCCCGTTTGTGACATCCATGAGCCGAATTGTCTTGACTCTCAGTATAAAGGGACTCTAGCAGGCGCTATGCGTTGCACGTCGACCGCTGCTGACTGCATTGTGTTTGACGCTATGCGTGAAGTATTCATGCAGTCTTGTAGGCGCTAATATGTGTTACATGCCGACCGCCGCGCCGAGGGCTTGTCCTTTTCATCTCAAGTCCTCGTCATCATTCCTCTATGCGCTATGAGCTCCAGGCCAAATTGCGTGTTGAGTTCCTCTCGTATAACTCGACTAATTAAAGATGCTGTCTTTTGTATCACTGAAAAACGACAAAATTAGAAATTACCATACTCTCAGGGAATGAAAGATTTTGTCGCTTTCTCTCGTTTGTAGTTTTGGCGCGTATACGTAGTATACCGCCTTTGCGATCGTTTCGACCCCCCCCCCCCCCCCCCCCCCCCCCCC